TTTTTCTTCTTGCCTATTAGGTTCTGTATACAACCTTATATAGTTTTTGGAGACAATGACTCTCTACATTGGGGGTGCGTTTTCCAATGTTTTAAAAGAAAACTGCATCAAAACACGACATGACATTTGTTTGAATACATCTTACAGTATGTGTTTTGACGTGCATTTTTATACATTTCTTTTGCGTTAAAAAAAAAAAAGTTTGTGTAAAAGGATCAACTTCTGTCAGTAGCCCTTGCATATTTTCCCCACCGGGCCCGGGGAAAAATAAAGCTCCAGACACCAAAGTGTGCAAGCTAAATCTCTGAAAGTTTAATGCATGACAAGAACTATTATACAGAACTCAGTGGGTGTTGCTTAATCTTAGGATGAAACATTCCACTCTTATCAATATAGTTACATGAAGAACAGAAACTGCAAATAGCTGAGAGATACCATATAAGGTGGTTCCGTTTACAATGAAATGAAACTAATCTTAGAAAACGAGCGAGAAGTTAAACGAAACTCAACACTGAAACTAACTGTTCATACGTCTAAAATGGAGGCATTCTACAAAATGGATGCCAGTTGTGTCTGGCCTAAGTGTTTTATTTAAAAATTGTAAGGCTTGCTAGACAATATAGGAAAACGAGGACAAAGGAATTTCTGTTCTCAGGTTTCCTTCTTTTTTTCTTTTTTTTTTTTCTCTGAAAAAAATTAAACAAATTTCCTGATTGGTCAGTCTTGGTAGTGTTTTCTTTCACGTAATTTTTTAATAAATATCTCTGCCTTTGTACACTAATTTTTTTAAACTTCTTTTGTGCTTGCAGCAGAGGAAAAGACAAATACGCGGCTTCTCTTAGGTCTGTGTCTAGATTCATACGCACGCTACCTAGTGAGCCAATCACAGCTTTTACATGCACAGGTCATGTATGAGAAAGCACTACAGATCTGTAAGGAGGAGCAAGGAGACCTTCATCCACAGGTCAGTAGAAAACCAGACTTTCTTGGGTCACATGTTGTACGATTACCTTGACAAAATTGACTGTAGAATACTACTTTCTATTTGGTGAGACTTTGGTTTTCTTGAACTTTTAAAAAATACAACTTGCATTTAAAAACCTTAGAAAGTTGTGTTTTCAGAATATGTTAGTTTTCCACATACAGTATGATTGATTGAATTATCCTGATAACATAAGAATAGTGACTTTCCTATCGATTGTGTTTTGTGTTTTGGTTTGGTTTGTTTTGTTTTTCTCTTCGTTGTTGCCACTTAAACCAGATGTAAAGTAAAAATGTCAGCTTTTTTCAGTCTACCACCCACCCTCTATCCTGACATCTCATCTACCAAAAATGTAAAAACAAAAGTATGTGTGCCGACCTAACACCTACTCATTCTGGTACAGGTGTCAGTATTCGCTATTAAAATATAAATATATTTAACCATCCAAAACATTTTTTTCAGGAGGGGTCATTGATTGACTGGTTAGGCAGAGCTTAGCTAAACTGAGCCTGGAAAGGTGTTGGGTGAGTATAAGAAAAAACTGTTGCTATAGCTGCTTGAAAATGTTAGCTTAAGTTCAAAATCTGCTTGTGCATCTAACACTACCCTCTCCCCTAACAATGCTGCTGTCCAAAGATGTCTACATTGCTCCTCCATCCAGAATGCAGACACCAAGGGGTTTATTTACTAAAGCTGGAGAGTGCAAAATCAGACTCACTTCTGCCCAGAAACCAATCATCTTCCAGGTTGTATTGCCAAAGCTTAATTGAACAAGCTGAGGTTAGAAGCTGATTGGTTTCTATGCAGGAGAGAGTCTGATTTTGCACTCTCCAGTTTCAGTAAATGAACCCCCATATGACAGGAAGAGTGTGACTGGCTGGATCACCATGTAAACAAAAAAAAAAAGAGAGTCTAGAAAAAACAAAGTCGAACAAACTAATGCAGCCACCATATTAAGGTCTAATTCACACAGTGTGCGATGACAAATGTTTTACTGCATTGTAAAACTTCCGTTACCACAAGTGAACATAGGAAACAATTGTTTCCTATCTGTCCCATTCACACTGCAACATGACCTAGGGCGGTGCTAAAATTCAGACAGTTTACATTTTATCGCAGCGCACTGTATGGCAGCCCAGCACAAATCACACAATTGTACAGCACCATGAATGAAGTGTAGTTTTTTTTTCTACATTTCAAATAAAGTTTGTACAAAAAAAAAGGGAGCCGTGTAATGCACTGCACCCTACTGCAATGGACAGCTGTCACAGCTGTAAATCGCTCCAGCAGCTGTCCATTAAAGTGTGAACGTAGCCCTGAGGATAGCTAAGCTGCAATATATACATTTTTGTTTTTGGGTTTAACACCTCTGTAAGTCACTGCCTTAGGCAAGTTCTTAATAAAACTTTTAGACCAGATGTTTTCAGGTGTTCCTTTCTTTTCTCTTCAGAATATTGGTGACCTAGTCTTCTGTCAGAGATTTTATGCTTCATGTAACTCTTTATGTAGAGAGACTTGTGTGTGCAAATGGCTCCGTGATGACACTTTCAGTGTTGGTAGATTGGCACTGGTAGTTGTCCAAGTGAAGCACTTAGGTATTCCTCTTAATAACCTTGCCTGTAACTCTAATACTAATCATCCTTTATGTGACCTTAAAGCAGAACTTCGGACAAAATTTTGTTTTCCCATGGAGTGGGGCTGTCTCCACACTGCATGGGTCAACTGCTTGTTTTGTCTAGGGGTGAACACAGAGCCTGTACTCACCCAATCTGTTGCGGAAAACGGCACTCCCCCAAGTCCATGGTGGACTGTTCCTGCCATCCTTATGTCCACAGCCGGTCTATGGGCGTGATGAAGTCAGGAACAGTCCAGCGTGGGGCGTCAGGAGCAGCAGGGACCGGTCTTGCACTGGGAGGATTGGCGGATTAGGTGAGTATACAGTTAGGTCCATATATATATTTGGACACAGGCACAATTTTAGTTTTTTTCAGGTATTTACCAAAACATATACAGGCTATTGTTATATAATGGATATGGGCTGAAAGTGCACACTCTCTTAGGTTTAATTTGAGGGTATGTATATCCAGATTGGAGGAAGGGTTTAGGAATTACAGCTCTTAAGAGTAGCCATCCCCCTTTTTCAAGGGACCAAAAGTAATTGGACAATTGAATCAAAAGCCGTTTCATGACCAGGTGTGGGCTACTCCTTTGTTATTTCTTCATCAATTAAGGAGGTAAAAGGTCTGGAGTTTATTCTAAGTGTGGTATTTTCATTTGGAATCTATTGCTGTGAACCTATCTCATGCGTTCAAAGGAGCTGTCCATGCAAGTGAAACAGGCCATTTTAAGGCTTCAAAAACTAAACAAATCCATCAGAGACATAGCAGCAACATTAGGAGTGGCCAATCAACAGTTTGGTACATTCTGAGGAAAGAAGAACGCACTGGTGAGCTCAGCAACATAAAAAAGCATGTATGTCCATGGAAGACAGCAGTGGTGGATGATCACAGAATCCCCATTCAGAACATCCAGACAAGTGAAGGACACTCTCCAGGAGGTGGGCGTATCATTGTCAAAGTCTACAATCAAGAGAAGACTTCACGAGAGCAAATACAGAGGGTTCACCACAAGGTGCCAACCATCCATAAGCCTGAAGAATAGAAAAGCCAGATTAGACTTTGCCAAGAAACATATAAAAAAGCCAGACCAGTTCTGGAAAAGCATTCTTTAGACAGATGAAACTAAGATTAGTCTGTACCAGAATAACGGGAAGAAAAAAGGGTGGAGAAGGCTTGGAACAGCTCATGATCCAAAGCACACATCATCTGTAAAACATGGTGGAGGCAGTGGGATGGCATGGGCATGCATGGCTTCCAGTGGCACTGGTTCATTGGTGTTTATTGATGATGTGACAGAAGCAGCCGGATGAATTCTGCAGTGTTTAGAGATATACTGTCAGCCCAGATTCAGCCAAATGCAGCAATGTTGATTGGACGGTGCTTCACAGTACAGATGGACAATGATCCAAAACACACTGCAAAAGAAACCCAAAGAGTTTTTGAAGGAAAATAAGTGGAATATTCTGCAATGGCCAAGTCAATCACCTGATCTCAACCCAATTGAGCATGCATTTCACTTGCTGAAGGCAAAACTAAAGGCAGATATACCCACAAACAAAGAACAACTGAAGACAGCTGCAGTTAGAGCCTTGCAAAGCATCAGAAAGGAGGAATCCCAGTCTTTGGTAATGTCTATGGGTTCCAGACTTCAGGCAGTCATTGCCAGTAAATGATTCTCAACAAAATATTACAAATGAACATTTTATTTATGATTATATTCATTTTTTCCAATTACATTTGAGCCCCTGAAAAAGGAGGGACTGTGTATAAAAATGGTTGCAGTTCCTAACATTTGTACTTGATATTTATGTTCAACCCCTTGAATTAAAGCTGAAAGTCTGCACTTCAAATTCATGTTAGATTGTTTTGTTTAATGAACTCTGGTGACATACAGAACCAGAAGTATGAAAATTGTGCCTGTGTCCAAATATATATGGACCTAACTGTATCTTGGCTCAGCAATCCTCTAGACAAAAACGTGCAGTTAACTCATACTTTGTGGGCACAGCATGAAAATATATATTTTTTTTTTAGTCCTATCACCTGAATAATGCTTTATGAGGGAGAAAAAGAAACTGAAATGACTCTTGATGACTTCCCCTTGAAAATATTTGTAAAGCTTGGAACAAGTATGCAAGACTTATCCGCATGCTTGTTCTGGGTTAGTAATGCAAAGACAGAAATGACAGCCTCTATGTCTTTCTCAGGAAAGGGTTCCTTTAACAACTGAAGCTTGCAAAATGCATATAAAGGCTTAAAAGGCAGATCTGGATCCTATATCCTAAACTATATTACATTGAGAAGACATAACTTGGCTTTCTTAGTTAGGATTCCCAGCTTGGTTAGTATTTGTTGAATAAGATTATAACTGTGTAGTAAGGTTTTTTTCTATCTCAGTCATGTTTTATGTCATGCAGACCATCACACTGCTCAGTGACCTGGCCACAGTGATGGAAGCACAGGGCCGCTATGATGAAGCTTACGCCTTTGTTAGCCAAGCACTTGATCTAGCTGAAAAGGCAGACCATCCAGATCACCATATCATGCTCAGCAACATGGCAACGATTCTCCTGCATCAAGGTAAACAATAGTTAGTGTGCTATATAGGAGCAGAAAGCATATTTTGTGTGGTCCTTTAATATGCTCCAGTATCAGGCAATTGGTTTGTTGCATATGAAAGCGACCCTGTTATGAACTGAAAAAAGTGCAGGTTAAAGCACAGGAAAATCAAGTATTTTTTTATGCTTGCTTGCAATATTCTCCCTTTCCATTAAAGTGATATAAAAGGCAATACAAAATAAATAAAACAAACAAACATGGTATACTTGCCTGCTCTGTGTAGTGGTTTTTCACAGAGCAGCCCTGATCCTCCTCTTCTCAGGGCCCCCGCCGTTGCTCCTGGCCCCGTCCTCCTACCCGCAGCGCATGCAGCTTGCTATGGGGGCACTCATGCAGGCTTGCTCCTGAACTGTTGATCTGCGTATCCATTCACACACAGAGCTGAGGCTTGCCCCCCCTCCTCATTGGCTCACTGGCTGTGATTGACAGCAGCGGGAGCCAAATGGCTCTAGCTGCTGTCTCAGCCAATGAGGAGGGAGAGTCCTTGGAGAATATAGGCTCTCATACACATCACTGGATCTCGATGGGGCTCAGGTAAGTATAAGGGGAGTTACTGCACACAGAAGGTTTTTTACTTTCATGCATAGATTGCATGAAGGTAAAAAACATTGAGCCTTTACAACCACTTTTAATGATCTTTTATTCACTTGCAATTTGAACTTGTTGGTATGTTTGACTGCACTAGGAAATGTCCATTCCCTAGCACAGCTCCCTCACTCGTTTGTCCTTTATTTTACTCCTCTGTCCCTTCTTTTATTAGCCTACATAATCATTTATGTAGTCTGCAGGAGAATCCTATGATTATATTATGCTGTGAACATATTTTTATATATATATTTATCTGTATTATCTATTATGTGATGGTACTATACACATATTCATGTATTTTTTCAGGGAATGCATTGTAATAATAGTTGCCTTTGAGCTAACCTTTGGGGATAAAACTATTTTTATGTTTAAAAGGTGCAGCTTTAATGCAGTTATCCTTAGTACGGTTTCACTATTTTGAGTTGCTGACCTAGAATCAGCATGCTGCCAGTAAAGCCTGAATCCCTTGTTCTGAATGCTTGTTCTGCATCAACTACAGTGAAGAGTCAGGGTCAGGATGACTGCCCCAGAACTTCTAATTTTTGTCAGTAAGAAATTGACAGTTTTTGAAGTGGTGCATTGTAGGAGTTCATGTGAGATGTGATCATTATTTTAAAATCATTGACAGCATGGCATGGGACCCAGAAAAACTGTAATACAAACTTTGGAGATAAAATTCCTGTAAAATGAATTTAGAAAGTGAAAGAGCACTTATTAAGGTAAATGGAAGTAGAAATAGACTTTCCTCTGTGTGATCTTTTTATGCTTTGTGGCCTCTATAAAGGAGGGATGGAACATGTGGCGGATGCTGAGCGGATCTTCAGGGAGGCGCTGATAAAGGCAGAGGAGAAGAAGGATGCCATAGCTGTTCAGTATATCCAAGAAGGACTTTCTAAACTTATTACGTGGAAGGAGGATAAAAGCCAAAATATCTGAGTGTCTATCTTATTAACGATACAGACGTCTATACTACCTTCTGCCAGTATGCTGGATGTTTTTGTTAAATAAAATAAAGAATGCAGGTTGGATGTACATGGGCTTTCTTCTTTGCTAAATTGTAGATGACACTTTTAATGTGAAACTGTAAATAAAATATTTTAAATTATTTCAAACTCTACCTTCAACTGTTTCTTATAAAAGTAAATTTTCTGCATCTTTGACATAAACCTGTGACATCTTTCATATAAGCTGACCCCTGCTGTTTATGTGAGGCACATGTGCCTGAATATATTTTCAGTTGATTAGTGGGGTGCAGTGGAAGCCCTCAACCCTGAGGAGTTCTTGTTTATCAAATTTTAACCATAACTTGTATGGCTGTGTCTGGCCGTCTCCTGCACCTCCCTTTTTTGCATAGTGCACTTTCCACTAATCTTTGTTGAATGTTGTTTCCAAGGGAAAGTAGTGTTAAATTTATTCTATTTGATACCTAATCCCCTACCTATAAAAGTAAAAATGCATTTATCTCATCCCCCCTGTCAAAAAACTCCCACCATTAATGGTGGGGCATATTTCCCCAATTTCAATACATTACACAAGAAACAAAGAATACATGGGGCCTAAATTGCTCTCAAATCTTCTTGAAAACTTTACTAGTGTGTTTGTGTATATAATGTTTTAAGATTAATTATATATAGTATATGCCTCTTCCCTCCAAGCGGCATACAAATAAAACTATCAATTGTCACGAATTGCCTGGGAGACACTGTTCAGTAAACTTGCAGTCCACACAATAAGTAACATATGAATGAACCCAGTATTGCTTGAATGCACAAAGAAAATACAGGTCCAATGGGGACGAAGGGGGGAATACCCAAGTGACCCCCGGAATGAAGATACAAATCTGGGGAAAAAGAAGCCAAGGCAGAAACCTGGGCTTTCACAGTACTTGCAGCCAAATGAGGATTCATATGCTTCAGTACTTGGTTTTAAAAACAGACGGTGTGTCGGGCACCACAGTGGACAAACCAAACAATTGGGGAAGGAGCTTGGAATGGGTGGAGCATCCACCGCATCTGCCCAGGGATCCCTTGACCTGGTTACAAACCTGGAAACCTTGCAATGGAGTCTGAATGCAAAGAGATTGGAATAAAAAGAGCCCATTCCCCTTCATCCAGACTATGGTGGTTGAGAGTTCGCTTGCCAGTTGTTCACTCCTGGAATGTGAACTGCAAGCAAGGCTGGGACATGAATATCTATATAACTGAGGATCTGAAATGCCTCCAGGGCTGCAGTAGATCTCTTGGTGCATCCCTTATGAATGATGAAGGCTACAGCTGTGGCATTTTCCGATTGTGCAACCTTTGAGTAGAGCCATCCAATTGAAAACTGCAAGACTGACTACATGGAGTTCCAGGATGTTGATGGGGAGACTGATCTCCTCTGGGGACCACCAACCCTGAACTGACAAGTGATCCATCATTCCCCTCTCCCCTTCCCCAAAGAGATGATGATCTGCCCATGTGGTGTTGTGCGTAGGCGACAGCGTAGAAGTCCGCACAGCTATTGGATGACTGACATGATGAAACTGGTGTCTACAATGAGTGCCAGGTACTTCTAGTGAGGAGGATGGACTTGAGGAGGTTCAATGTCCATCTGAAATGCTCCAGTGACTTGATCATGACGGAGAGATTGCATTGCATATAGCTGATACAGACTGTGTTCACAGGAGCAGGTCTTCCACAATCGATATTGAGCAGAGAGCCAAGATCAGAGCTAGCTATCTCAGTGAAGACTCATGGCACAAACTATGCCCCCCCCCCCCCCCCCGCCACTGTGTATGCTCCCTCTCAAGGAAAGTCATCACAGGCTCACAGAGTGGTGTGGGAAGTCTCTACCAGACCAGGTCCAACAGTTTTCCAACTGAGTACCTCCAGGTGAGGGGTGGGGAGAGAACACTTCTGATAAGATATCCAGATGATGTAGACCAAGATAGAAGGACCAGGTTGTGCAGCTGATATCCCCCCCCCCCCCCCCCCCCCAGTAGCAGGGATCTGCATAGTCAATGGCAGTGCTCGGGGGAATACCCAAACCTATAATATCCAGACTGTCAACCAGCTGATAGAAGACAAAAATTTATTTGACTGGAACAAAATCCATCAAGGAGAAAAAAAAAGAGAAAAAGAGGAAAAAAAATATTAGGTTCTAACTCCTGAGAAGCTAAGCAAAGGGCTTCAGATAGAGGGTTTGGTCCCACTCCTGCTGTTGGCAACATAAACTCAGCTCTCCAGAAGAATTGCTGTGTCCTTCAATGCACAGAAGAGAGAAAAAAAAGCCTCATTGCATGTATGAGATCAAGCTTCATTTATCCCATAAAAACAATCACTCCCATTAGGTCCATCTAATGCCTAATATTTTGATTTTACAACTATATTCTCTGGACTTCCACATTTTTCCACATTTTTTATGTTACAACCAAAAATGTAAATGTATTTTATTAGGATTTTAGGAGATAGACCAACACAAAGTGGCACATAATTGTGAAGCGGAAGGAAAATGATAAATGGTTTTCAACATTTTTTTACAAATAAGTATCTAAAAAGTGTGGCGTGCATTTTTATTCAGCCCCCTTTGCTCTGATACCCCTAACTAAAATCTAGTGGAACCAATTGCCTTCAGAAGTCACCTAATTAGTAAATAGTCCACCTGTGTGTAATTTAATCTCAGTATGAAGTATGAATACAGCTGTTCTGTGAAGCCCTCAGAAGTTTGTTAGAGAACATTAGTGAACAAACAGCATCATGAAGGCCAAGGAACACACCAGACAGGTCAGGGATAAAGTTGTGAAGTTTAAAGCAGGGTTAGGTTATAAAAAAAATCCCACGCTTTGAACATCTCACGGAGCTCTGTTCAATCCATCATCCAAAAATGGAAAGAGTATGGCACAACTGCAAACCTACCGAGACATGGCCATCCACCTAAACTGACAGGCCAGGCAAGCAGAGCATTAATCAGAGAAGCATCCAAGAGGCCCATGGTAACTCTGGAGGAGCTGCAGAGATCCACAGCTCAGATGGGAGAATCTGTCTACAGGACAAATATTAGTCGAGCACTCCACAAATCTGGCCTTTATGGAAGAGTGGCAAGAAGAAACCCATTGTTGAGAGAAAGCCATGAGAAGTCCCATTTGCAGTTTGCGAGAAGCCATGTGGGGGACACAGCAAACGTGGAAGAAAGTGTTCTGGTCAGATGAGACCAAAATTTAACTTTTTGGCCTAAAAGCAAAACGCTGTGTGTGGAGGAAAACTAACATCACCCTGAACACGCCATGAAACATGGTGGCAGCATCATGTTGTGGGGATGCTTTTCTTCAGCAGGGACAGAGAAGCTGGTCAGAGTTGATGGGAAGATGGATGGAGCCAAATACAAGGCAATCTTAGAAGAAAACCTGTTAGAGTCTGCAAAAGACTTGAGCCTGGGGCGGAGGCTCAATTTCCAGCAGGACGACGACCCTAAACATACAGCCAGAGCTACAATAGAAAGGTTTAGATCAAAGCATATTCATGTGTTAGAATGGCCCCGTCAAATTCCAGACCTAAATCCAATTGAGAATCTGTGGCAAGGCTTGTTGCTCACAGATGCTCTCCATCCAATCTGACAAAGAAGATTGGGCAAACATTCCACTCTCTATAAGTGCAAAGCTGGTAGAGACATACCCAAAAAGACTTGCAGCTGTAATTGCAGTGAAAAGCGGTTCTACAAAGTATTGATTCAGGGGGGCTGAATACAAATACACGCCACACTTTTCACATATTTATTTGTTAAAAATGTTGAAAATCATTTTCCTTCCACTTCACAATTATGTGCCACTTTCTGTTGGTGTATCACATAAAAATCCATTTACATTTCTGGTTGTTACATGACAAAATGTGGAAAATTTCAAGGGGTATGAATACTTTTTCAAGGCACTGTCTTTAGGAGTTAAATTGTTATAGGTCTAGATCCAAAAACACTCCTGTAATAAAATGGTATCAGAATTCCACCTTCAGGTGTTAATTTGGAACGCATAAATCCCTCTCACCTTTATGCCCTTTCTTGAAACTCCTCCCATTATTTTCCATGAAATAGACACCCACAGCCACCAGTCACCAAATCTGAAATATCACTCTACTCAAGGAACAGTTGATAATTAATGTACAGGCGTACCTCAGTTTACAAACGCCTCAGTTAATGTAGTTAACATCTTGCTTACTACTTTGCATGTGATCACTGATTGGCCTATCAGTGATCACATGAGCGGGACCTCGTCCAGAGGACACAGCGGGCACCGGATCGCGGTGCTGCGCGCTCCAAGGGAGCGTGCACAGCTAGAAATGGCGGGTGCCGTTTATGAACAGCAACCCGCCCCTGGAGTGCCACCGTCCTGCCATTTATAAACAGCAGGCGGACGGCAAGTGTTTAAAAGACGGCGCTGAGCGTACAGGTGCCACCATGCCGCAGTAAAAACAATGCGGCGGGTCGGCAAGTGGTTAAATCATGTCCCTGTACAGTACTATGCCTTTACAGTGCACTTTATAAAGAGTTTTGAACAGATAAAAGACTTTTTTTTTACTTTTTTCTGACCTCCAAAACGGATTAATTGGTTTTCAATGCATCCTATGGGAAACTGCGTTTCGGTTTACGAATTTTTCGCAATACGAAAGTCCCACAGAACAAATTAAATTCGTAAACCGAGGTACGCCTGTAATAAGTGCTTATTCCATCGGAGGATTGCTATCTATTTTCTTGCTCTACATACTTGCAGATATCACATACTCCTCATTTATACATACCTGTAAGATTAAGATCGTTAACTTTTTTTCAGCAGAGCCTGCAATTCACTTCTAAAAAGTAGCATAATCTTCAGGCTCGTAAACCTCTTTGCTGTTCCACTCGGAAACAGGTACCACAATCTGCAAGGAGGGGGAAACTTGCAGTAGGGTTGGTGAGGCTCCGTCTGC